GGGGGATTTTTTTAAACAAACAAAAACATGGGAGACCAAAACATTTGTAACAGAATTTGATGAAACATTAAAATGTATAAAGTTGCTTGCGTTTCCTTAAGTGATTATAAACCAGAACACCTCAGTGGCAGATTTGACAATTTGGCATGTTTTTGGTAACCAACATAAAGCTTAGTCGATTAGATTTATATAATAAATAATAATAATTGTATATCTATTAAGTTTGTGTATGTTGAGTTTTGCTGCACTGGCAACTAACTGAAATAATTTAAACTGGCATACTACAAATAATAAAACTAAAAAGGATGAAAGCCCATTACAAATTTAAAGCTTAAACTAATATAAAAGAACATTCAAAATATTGAAATCACATTAAATACCATAGATACATATACATATTAATAAAATGATTTTCACTTTCATTCGTGATGAGCTTAACATGCATTAATATTTTTACAAGTATTTTTCTAGTTAGAAATTAAAACTACAATTTATTGCGAATAACGTTCTAAAAAAGTTGTAAAATTGAATTTCTTTGGGCTATCCATGAAGCACACAAAGAGGGAAAAAAATTTCACTCAGAAATCCCTACTAAAGCACACAATGGAATAGCAAGTAAAAGTTGAATTAAATGTGAAATTTAGAGGTATAAACTCAGAAAAGGTATTCTTACAATACAATTTAAAATAAAATCAAGTCACATCTTTTCGTTTGTTTGTTTTTTACTGTGAAACTGTAAATTATAAGTAGCTCCTTGGCTGGGATCATTGAAGATTAAAATGCTTTAATTAGTGAGGCTTTGGGGTGTCAGAGGAGGGTTACCTGGCGTATGGGCCTCTGAATCACTGGGTGTATCGCTGCCGGCCTGCTCTGCGTCTTTCGGCTTCGGATCGGACTCAGTCTTACTGTAGGAGAGGAAGAGCCGCCCGTTCTGCGCGTGGCTCGGATAGTGGCCGTAGGCGCTGGCACTGCCGTTCTCCGGGCTCCAGGGCGGCGACTGCTGTGCGGTTTGCGCGGAGTAATAGGTCGTGGTGACCCCGCCGGGGTGAGTGTACGCGGCCTCGGCCCAGCTGAGATTCGGGTGGCCGTGCTCAGACACTTGCGGGTACACGAGCCCGTATGCATACGCATGATAAGACGGGTTGAAGTTGTAATTTACTGGCATCTTCCAATCCGCCATTCCGTCGTCAGATGAACGCAGAGCAGAAAGCAAATGTGCAGAGTTGGACCAATTAATGGCCTAATTAACAACACCCGACTACAAAGACCCAAAGGGCTCGACTACCCTCGAAAACGGATGACTGTAACAGCTCTCCTCCTCATAGTACCGCAAACCGACCCCTTGACATGACCTGACGAAGACGTGTGGAGAAGCTGATTTATAAAGCCAGGTGAGCGGGAGTGGGTGGGGCGGAACTGCGACGAGACGCTCGGACCAATCAGGTGCAAGTTCTGAGAGGCGGCAGCCACACCCTCATTACACATTTACCTGGACCACATATATAGCTATTATACTTGCTTATATTCATGTAGCGTTTTAGGTTTTACATTTTTAACTACATTACTGTTTAGCCTACATATTAAGAAAATTACGCTGAAAATAAAATAAAAAGTTACATTTTTATTAATGTATTATTTTAAAGAATTAATTACAAAAATTCAAATTAAACTTGTGCTTTTATGTCTTAAACTTTGTCAAAGTTTATGTATTTATGTTTTAACTAAAACAGAGAACTATTATTTTAAAATATTTATCATTTAGTTAAATTAACATACTTTAGCACATTAAAATGGTAGGCTACATGAAAATGATTTTTTAAATAATTGTGATTATATGTGCCCAACAGGTTATTTCATTTAACCCATGATTTTTTGATAATGCACCTGGTTTTGGTATTTGTTTTAGCATTTTAAACCTATAAATAGGCTACATTTTCGAACATAATTAGTGCAGGCTTCTTATCTCTCTAATCTATTGTCTGTTTTAAATGTTTACCACAGTTTCTTTCAGGGGAATTGCAAGCTCACAATCATTTCTTTAGATTAGCATGATTAATCATACAAAAGCAAGACAAAGCCTCATCTGAACAAGTTTTAGAACCATATAAGTGTGATAATCTAAAGCTTTCATTTTGAAAATGTTTGTGGAGTATGGAATGTATCACTGCTGGGAATTTACTGGCAGGACTGTTTGAATGCCTTAAACAGGTTTGCCTTAAATTACCACCTGAATAGGTGTGTTTGTAGTCCACCCTGCCTGCTGCATTAGAATGGAAATATTTCTGTATGAGGTGAAAATATGTGATAATCATGGAGTGATTGGAGAGACCACAGATCTGTTTATATGGGAAAGAGGTGTGAATGAGTATGGAGGTGGTGGCATTAAAGTGCATCTGCCTTTTGCACTTGTTGACCAATTCAGCAAGTTAGACAAAATAAGCAGCTTTAGAAAATTTAAAGTACAAACTTTACAATTATGGTGTTTTACTTAACCTTTAATGACATTTATGTATGTATGTATGTATGCATGTATGTATTTATTTATTTAACTATTGTTTGCCAGATAATAATAGTAACAATAATAAGAGTTATCGTTAATAATAGTTATTATAATAGTTAATATATTATCTATCTATCTAGCTATCTATCTGTCTATCTATCGTGGCTTTAATTTTTACTAATTATTGGCTTCAGGGGCGCCGCCAGCAATTTTTGGCCCTATGAAAGAAAATGAGGTTGGGCCCCCTACTGCTCCCATTCCACACCGAACATACAAGCCAACCTAGGTATCCAAAATCTTTGTCTGCAATTTAATAATCCTGACCTATTACTTTTGCTATTGCTTTTGACTACTAGGTATCAGTATTTAGTCAGAGACCTACCCATAGCCGGGGTCAATATATTTTATCTGGGGGTGGGGCTTGATGGGGCATGAGTGGGGTGATTTTAAACAAAATCCTAATTTTAAACAGCCCAAACACTTATAGATGAACATATAAATTAATGAAGACAGCGTTATATAAGAATTAATATATATTTGTGCTTTTTTAATGTTAGCTCAATAATATTTTTTTTTCTTTATTTGTATTATTTTAAGGGGATTTTACTAAATATTAACCTCTAAATTATGCACCATTTATCTGCTGCAATATCAGGGTGTAACCTCTAGATGGCTGTATAGCCCTATATATAAATACATATAAACCGTTTGCTGCAGAGTGAGAACTTAAGACATAAAGCACGTAGCTTGTATCAGGTTATTCAGTGATATATTTTCAGACATTATTAAAGACTACGTTTAGTAAGAGTTTAAATTTAAATGTTGATTTGAAGTGTCAGTTATTATTAAATCTGGACAGAGAAAGCATTTTTTAGGATACTCATACTAGCTACAGCGTGATCAGTCACACGAAAGTCATCAGAATAAATATTGGCTCAGTGTGACCAGGGCAATATTTTAAAACATAGAATTGAGTGTTTACATACCATGAACAGATATGTTCTGTGGTTGAGATGTATCCTATTTGGAAAAAATCTTTATGGCAATCAGCAACTGGTAAATTGAGATTCCAGTAGCTTTACTGGCATGATAAAAAGGCTCTACACAGCATTGACCGCGCTTCGAACCAATGGTGTTGAGCATTAGAGGCTACAATTCATAGTTTTCAGTCACGTGACTGGCTCGAAGACCTGTCGGGCAAAACATCCATAGAATTGCAGCAAAAGCTTGTCAATTTTCCATTTGTTTCCAGTCCACAAATATTTAGATCTTTTGATGACGGGTGTTCTGAAATATTCGGTGTCTGAGATATTTGGTGTCACTGGGCGGAGTAAACATGAATATTCATGAGTTCCTGTTAAAGCGACTCTGAAAATATTAGTGCGTTTTCACCGGATCACAAAAGATTCTCAACAAGTTAAATATGTTTCAGCGTAGAATGAAATTATGCTTAGTATTTGTAAATATGCAAAAGAATGTATAGATTGTGTCGTGGTTTGTGATGGCCGTGATTTACCTGAGGTATAGCTGATACGCACCATGTCAATAGCTGTTAAGCACTTTTATAATATTCTTATTTTACGTTACCTTGAGAGTCCTTAAAATGAGTCGTTTAATAACTTTGCCAAATTGTATCTGTTGTCCCATAATAAAGTTTCTTATAATGATTATTCTTTGCCATTCCTAATCGTTTGCTCAATCATTCAAAAATGTTTTTACTCACAAGAGGAAAATCAAATGTTTTTTACATGCATGAACTGGAATATAAAATTCTCAATCTTTTTTTGCCCAAAAAGATACATTTAGTGGACACTATATGGTTACAGAAAAAAAGAAAGAAAAAAAAACTGTGCAAGAAAGTGAAAAATCTTTAACGTGATTTGTGTCTTTAATCTAATCATATAGTGCATTGTGGTGCACTGATTCAGATGAAAATAATTTTGACTCAGATGTGTGTTGGTGAAGTTGTGAAATCAGCAACACTGCAATACTTTAACAATGTTTTACTTCTATTCTACAAACTTATAACAATTAAAATGTTTAATATTTTAATAACAAATGGCTAAAATAAACCATACAGTAATGTGTACGTTTTCATTTCAAAGATAAAAGTAGTTTCCTTTTGCTGAATAAAGACAGCAACTGATTCTGTGTTAAAGTTTTATTAACAGATGTGATGAAAGCATGACATAAATGACATTTACACAGAGGCGGACAAAGTACTCAACTCCATTACTTGAGTGAAAGTACAGATACTGCTTGTCAAATATTACTCCATTACAAGTAAAAGTTGTAAAGACAGATTTTTACTTAAGTAAAAGTACAGAAGTACTTGCTTTTAAAAGTACTTAAGTACCAAAAGTAAATTTCCTTTTTTATGTCAATGCACTGTTTTATTGTACGTAATACTTGCAATACTTCTTAAGCAACTTACAATACATTACACCTACTGAATACACTGACTAGCTTGTAGTATCTTTGGAATAAAGAGCTTTTAGGATGTTAAAAACCTAAGGGGGAAAAAAATTAACACCCTATACCCACCCCCTCAAAAGCAGGATGGTAGTGATCTCACAGTTCTGACAGTGTGTGCGCACATCTATGTGTAGCCATTCATCCACATTTGAACAGAGTGGACAGTGAAATCCTGTAAATACAGAGTGATAAGGAAGAAAGAAAAATCAAACCTGCTTTAAAACCCAGCAACACAACTGTAGCTGTATAACTTTACAACAGCAACACTGCTTTAACAAAAAAGCAAAACAGCAAGACTTATTTGACATCAAAACAAAAATTTAAAAAATGCTGTCTAATCACTCTCACTGTACTTTGATGTCCCACACAGAATGGTCTGCAGTGCAGCTTCAGTCAAACACCTTTTGTGTTTTATTAGGAGATGCACAACAGTTCTTCTGTGACTTTATAGGTAATATATTCACCTACACAATTTAGCAAAATCAGACAATATTGTGTCTAATATATACCACAATATTAACTTCTTATTATTGAATTGTTGTAAATAAATATCACATTTGGAACTGGTCAGTGTTCAAAAAATGCTGGGAAATCACTTCATGTAGCCCTATGAGAGTGATTACTGATAAACTGTCTGAAAAAAATCACCCACTGACTTTCAAAGCTGCTAACGACTTTCTACTTCGAGGACCTTCATAGAAATGTAGTGGAGTGAAAAGTACAATATTTGTCTTTCAAATGTAGTGAAGTTAAAGTCATAAGTTCCCAGAAAAAATAATACTCAAGTAAAGTACAGATACTCAAAAAGTGTACTTAAGTACAATACTCAAGTAAATGTACTTAGTTACTGTCCGCCTCTACATTTACAACACACCTGTATGAATATAAAATACATGGTCATGTTTAAAAAAAAAAAGGTGAAAGCTACACAAATGTCTACTTTGTAGGCTAGAGGTGTTTAGGGATACTGATCAACACAAGCCAAGCACACGTCATATGATTTCTGTGGTAATATCTCTTATGGATCTAAAAACTATAATAAATTCCTATATGAACAACAAATGGCAAACAGAGATTTATACACCATGAACAAACTCGATAAAATCAATCTAAATGTTGAGAGAAGAATCACTATAAGCAGAATTTACTATAAATTACTGGAATTGGATTAAATCATGTAATTCAGTCATGGTTTTGATCTGGAGAAACCCTTCATGTGTTATTTAAACCTTTTTAGTTGGATTGAGATTACCTTTGATTATCCTGATTTCAAAAAAAGTGTGGATTTCAGGAACAAAATGTAGTAAAACTTTAAGACTGGTCAAATAATACAACATGTGTATCATATAGTATACATATTTATGTATATTTTGCAGTTGATTTGTTTAAC